TCGGTTCAGTTCTAAAAGGAAGTTCATAAAACCCTTAGGCAACGGGTGGCCTCAGATGACCAAGGAAATGATACTGCTAATTGAAAGTGATTTGACAAGAGTATACATCTCAGGAAAGGGTAATGTGATTAAACTGATGATACTTCGGTAGTATTGCGGCACTTTCTTGCTAAATCGCCTGCTAATATCTGAGTTTGTTTGATGGCACAGGAGAATTTTAGAATATCTTTCGTTGAATGATTGGGTACTCGAGGTGTGATATGTATTCATACTGCGAAATTTGGGATCAGGTACAGTGATTCGTGTGCTATATGGAGTTGGAGACTGGGAGTTCTCAGGTTCAGACTAGGTAGCGGTTGTGGATCATGTGTATTGGTACCGTTAGCGACTATTAGGATTTGGAAGCCCGAGTGGATCTTTCTGTGCTTGGTATATTAGATTTTGGATATGATATTGGGGTGTAGACTGGTTGTCTCAGTGTTGGGTTATTCTAGACTATTGGGCTATGGATTATGTCGGAAAATGCCACAGGTTGCGTGGAAGAGTGCATCGGATTTTGTTCTAGCAGAGTGGTTGTATTCCAAAGACCAGCGGACGACTGGGAAGGATTGCTTTTCTTAATTGGGACTTCGTGGCGGATGTCAGTGCTGAGGTTTTTACCATTGATTCAGTTCCGGTATTGAGGGACTTTTTTGGATGCGTTCCTTGTGGGCGGGCATGTCGCTGGGCGAGATTGTGGATTTCGGTAATTATTTGGTGCCGGGCACCATATCGTACGGCTCCTACAGGAGTTATAGTAGTGGAAGGAGCAGCTCTAGGGTTCTTGGAATTGAGTTCGTGGGCAGGCCGATGTGGCTATGTATTTGGCTTGAGTTAGCTTGGTTGGCCCGAATTGTATTGATGAGGGATAGGTTGATTCGATCGTCATTGAGCTTGCTAGTGATCTAAGGAGAGCTATGAGTTGCTTTTCGGTGTTTTGAGACGGCATAATTGGTTGGATATGGGCACATGTGGTGCAGTTCTACTGAGGATTCATACAGAAAGTCGACCGGGAAGAGTAATTGAGTGTTGCTCAATAAATGGAGTATTGGTTATGGCCTATCGGGGTGCGAGCCTTATGTTATTTGTTTCACTATGGATGTAATGCATTGCTTTGGTTTCAGACATCAAAAAAATGTGTGTGGCTGTTGATTTTGAGCATGGCGACTTGAGGTGCTTCATGTGGAGTAGTGTTTGGATAGGATCGCGCGTTGTGGCGAGGCCACGTGAAGTTATGACCTGTCGGGGTAGCTTCAGGTGTTCTATTTCTATGATGTGAGACGAGGTCTCAACCTTGCGTTGTAATGGTATTGATGAACTTAAGGTACAGCTCTTTCGTTTGAGTCATTTTCATGATTTGAGTATGTTCAGACCATCTCTTATTGGTGCGTGTATTATGCAAGTTGTGGCTTAGGCCGGTGTTGAGGTATCATATCACCCGAGTGGTGTGTTGGACCCGAAGTGATTGTTGGGGGTCATTAATGAATACGAACGGATTTGGTTTCAGTTTGTTGGAAGGTTAATATCGAGGTCCGGCTCAGAAATCTGTTGTGGTAGTAGTCAAAAGGGAAGTGACTTCATGAATGGTTGATCTGAGAAATTGTTACAGTTTATTGCGTGTTTCATTTATCGTTGGCAGTATATGAAAGTGTTGGAATAAGACCTTGGTTGATAAGAGGTTTTCCACCGATATTCGGGTGTTGTGGGCAAATACTGTGAATAGAAGTTACCGTTTTGAGTGTTTAGGTTACGTAATATATTATATGATTGCACCTGAGGTTGCAGGTATGGGTTATTACAGCTGGTTCGAGCTTATTCTGAGTAGAGATGTGAGGTTCTGATCTTGTGTATGATTTCAGAAAGTGCAATGCGGTCATTCGGTTTAGGGGTTAGATGGACTGTGAAATTTCAGCTATATTGTGTTATCGGACCTATGCGAGATAGGGTGATGAGGGATCACCCCGGGTATATGCTTGGTAAGGTCATTCAGCTACTAGGTTGCTTCTGGTACAACTCTAAGTACGCTCGGGGACGAGCGTTTGTTTAAGTTGGGGAGGATATGATGACCCGACCCTCCATCTCATGTGTTACTACTACGTTTCCCCCATTTTATGCTTCTTCATGTTTCGTTATTGGTATGTGGTGTGTTAGAGTTGATTTGGACTGGTTTTGATAAGAAATGAGACACTTGGTCTCTTTAAGGAAGGCTTAAGTTGGAAAAGTCAACCGGACGTTGACTTATGAGTTAGAGGGTCCGGATGTGATTTCCGGTGATTCGATTTGCTTCGAGAAGTGATTTGTGACTTAGGAGTGTGATCGGAAATGATTTTGGAGGTCCGGTGTAGAAGTAGGCTTGAATTGGCGAAGTTAGTATTTTGGCGAAATCTGGTGGATAGATGAGATTTTGATCCGGGGGTCGGAATGGAATTCCGAGAGTTGCAGCTCCGTTAGGTGATTTTGGATATGTGTGCAAAGTTTCAGGTCATTCGGAGGTGTTTAGGTCGGGTTTTTGATCGAATGTGCAATTCGGAAGTTTTTAAGAATAGGCTTTGATTTGATGAAATTTGAGGATTTTGATGTTAACGATAGTGTTTTGATGGTTCTAGCAAGTTTGAATAAGGTAATAGAACATGTCTGTGCTTTTGGTTGAGGTCCCGGGGGCCTCGGGGTGAGATCGGGTGTTTAAACGAGAGTTTTTGAAGTTTGCTTCAGGTCTGTTGTTGCTGTCATCTGGTATTTCCACTTCTGTAGAAATAGGCCGCAGAAGCGGTTTCACAGAAGCGGGTAAGGGAGCGCAGAAGCGATTTGGTGTGGAGTTGAGAAGTTCCGCAGAAGCGGAACTTGGTCCGCATTAGCGGGTCTGCAGGAGCTGTATTAGAATCGCAGAAGCGGAATCTGGGATGTGATTAAGTGAACAGTGATTTCGCAATTTGAAAGAGAACAAACATTTTGGACTTCGGACTAAGAGGGTTTTTGGGCGATTTTGAAGAGAGTTTCGAGGTCTTTCATCAGGTATGGATTCTTGGACTTAGATTATGATATTATGGTGTAAAATTATGGATTAACACTGAAAATTCAAGGAATTAAAGGGTAAAAATGGAGGTTAGGGCTTGAAACTTAAGAGAAAGCTAGTGATTTGAGGGGTCAAATGTGTGAGCACGTGATTTTTGCCATATATGTATTATTCCAACAAATTCAAAACAAAATAATTTCTTTAAGTATTTGCAATTTTGGGGATTTTTGCGGCATTTTCTGGTAATTGTTTGCATTTGTCTGTGCATTTTTTTATTTTATTTAATTAATGAAATTAAAAAATATATGTTGCATTTGTATTTAGGATTTAATTTTACATTTTTAGGATTAATTGACTAATTATTTTATAAAAATAGGAAATATCACAAAAAATAGTTTATTTTGCACATTTTATTTTTAATTGGGTTTCTAATTATTTGTAGTAACAATTATTAGGACTAATTAATTTAATATGGTAGGTTAATTCAGTTTAAAAATTATTATTAATTAATCTAGGATTTATTTTGATTTTGGGAAAAGAAAGGAATTGTGAATTGAAAAGGAAAAAGAAAGAATGAAAATCTGGGCTCAAACCCGATTTAATTGTCCCAGCCCAAATAACAATCATCCAACACCTGGCCCAACCCGCGCCTGACCCGGTCTGATTTTTTCCCCAAAACAAAACAACATCGTTCCTGGGGCAGTAGATCAGGACCGTCGAGGTCTCTTGATCGAACGGACGTGAAGCCCAGGTCCTTTAGTATATAAATGTCCTAACGTCCCTACCCACCCCCTCATTTCGTCGTTCTATCACCCCTCTCAGAACACCCCTAACCCTAGCAGAGCCGCCCCCTTTTCAATCACCATCCACCGGCGGCGCCACCTCCAACCACTTCCAAAATAACACCCCACGATCGCCAAGAGCCCCTCATTCCAAATCCCCCCTCCGTTTGCCTCGAATCAACCCAGACCGTCTCGAATCCTATTCTTGAAAGAAAACCCTAGCGCCGCCCTGTGTTCTCTGGTGGCGCCTCCGCCTCCGTTCAACCCCAAATTAACACCTTAGGACCCTTTCTCTTCTCTCATGCCGAATATCAACTTCACTTCCTTCGAATCACTCCAGAATCCTTCGAATTTCAGATCGAAAGGATGAGCCCTAATTTCCAAAGAGCCCCTGAGTCGAGTTAGTTGAAGATTCGGTTTATTGTGATGTTATTCGTGTGTTCTTATTAAGAACGCACGATTAATATCATAATTGGCCAGAAAATCCGAGTTGGAAAGTTCGAACTCCTTTCCTCATCTGCTTGAGTCTCAATAGGTATTCTGTACTTCTCGGCGATTTTATTTAGCTTTCATTTCTTTTTCTTTTTTTTTCTCTATTTTTCTTCTTCTTCTCGTTCTTCTCGACCTCTCTATTATTTGTTTCGTTTTCCAGTTTGTTTTCCCATGCATAACAATTTTAGGTTAGTATTTTAACTTGTCCTCGGTTTGTTAACTAGTGTAGTGTAGATTCGTTGGTTTAGTCAATTAGTTAATGGGTCGTTCTAGGCTAGGTTGTTTGACCCTTTAAGGCCATTTTAGAGTTTGTAAATTTTGTTTTTTTAACTAAGCGTATTGTTCGTAATTTGGGGCTGTCTCTGATGTAATTGGCAAAGAACAGCCCATCCAAATTGCATTGGGTCATGGGGTCAGCTTGACCCATTTTTGGTTTTCGTTCTTGTAGTAATTGTCAGGGGATAAAAGGGTAATTTGGTCAGTTTGCGTGAGGAATCTTGATGTAACCGACTAAGGGAAGATTCCTGGAAGCTGGGGTGGGGACTAATGTAAAGAATCTGATTTTTGGCTAGGGGTTTTTAAGCTAAAATGAAAATTCAAAAAGGGTAAAGGGTAAAAACTGAAATCTGATGTTTGCCCTAAGGACTTGTCTATAAAGACATTGTGTACTTGCCTTGCAAGTCAGGGTTGGAAGGGAGAAAAAAAAAATACAGAAAAAGGCTGCTACTGTTCCATTGGGATTTGGGTCTCAATTTGAAGAATTATCACTCTTAAAATCGATTTTGTTTCTTCCTCTGAAATGGTTCAAAGCTTGGCTAAATTCAAGTTTGGCTTGGGGTCTGTTGATTTATTGAGTCCGAAATTGGCATTTGAACTGTTGCATTGCATTTTGGTTTCAAAATCAGTCTGTTGGTTCATCTCTGGGGTATTGAGAGATGCTGCTTTCGTTTGCTTACAATAACCACCTTTCTCCTTCTCATTTTCCAGGTACAAACTCAGAATTTCCCATGATGTAAACTCAATTTGAAGGTGAAATGAAAGGAAGTGCTGAGTTCTGTTAATAATTTTGATTTTGCTATGATTCTGTTCCTTTATGATGTTTATGTGTTAAACATTTGATTCAAATGTAGTTAGTCTAGCTGATGCTGATTAATTATCATGTTGTAGTCAATTGTGGACTGTTGGACTTTGGGAATCATGTTGTGCTTGGACTTTAAGTTGTTGTTTTGGGTTTGATCTAGATTAAATCCCCTTGTAATTAATATTTTCATGTTGGGTATTGTTAGATACACTATGTTTTTGACTTGATTCTTGAAGTCACATGTGTTGAGGATGAACTAAAACTGCAAATTAGTATGTGCTTCCATGATGAGTGTTAGACTCTTGTATTCACTTCCATTTGAAAACCAATTTCATGTTTCCTACATATCATGCTTTCGTTGTTGATGACTGAAATTCAGTGTTGTCTGAATGCTATAGTTGCATCAGGATCAAATGCATAGGAGGTTATAGTTCATTGTAATCTTCATACAACAATAAGTTAGTTAAATTGGGTTATTATTTGAAAACAGTGGGTATTGTCCTAATTGGTTAAATGATAAATCTTCAGTCATTGTTGAGTTTAAATGATTGTATCTGCCAATTTGAAGGCAAATTAGACATGTTTTCGTTCATTTGGGCTCGAATTGGGGACCCCGCTATCTTTTGGCCCCGTCCTCCACGATTTATTTCTGATTTTCCTTCGGGCCCAGTGTGGCCTGGAGCAGGCTGTTACTTGGAAACAGCCTCAAATTCATGCTGTCAGGCCTCAAGTTGGGCCAAAACATTTAATCTAAAATGCCAACTTCTTTCGTTCAAGTATTTATATCTGGGCTAATCCATTAAAGATTTTTTTTGTTAACGTTTGAGTAAATATAAGTCTAGCGGCCTTTGTTCAATATTAGGTAATACGAAATAGTTATGGTCTTGTGTTAATTGAGATATTAAAAATGATAAATATTTGTAGCATGCCTTTAGGGCTGTTTAAAATATGATTATGGTTGCGTATACGTTCGCGTAACACGACCATGATTCTAAATTAATTTGGAGTATGCGTTTGCGCAACTTCGACCAACCTTTTCCTAATAATAAATATGTTACAAGTTTTAGTTTATATAAGTTCATTAAAACCACATAGGGCCATCCTAGTAAGTACATAAATTAGATATAAAATTGACAAAAAATTCGTAGCATATCCTTTAGGGCCGTTTAAAACACTAGTGTGATTGCATATACGTCTGCGTAACACAATTACACTTCTAAAAAAACCGGAGTATGCGTTCGCGCAACTTTGCCCCAATAATCTTATTAGATAAACAAAGCGTTAGTAATTGTGGACACTGTCACACCTCCTTTTTCCGCGCCCGCGGGGGCGTAGGGAGTTTTTCCAATTAAAGGACAGTCGAAACGGGATTTATTTATTTATTTCAGAGTCGCCACTTGGGAGATTTTAGGGTGTCCCAAGTCACCAATTTAATCCCGAATCGAGGAAAAGAATGACTCTGTATTACAGTCCGCGAACCAGAAATCCGGATAAGGAATTCTGTTAACCCGGGAGAAGGTGTTAGGCATTCCCGAATTCCGTGGTTCTAGCACGGTCGCTCAACTGTTATATTTGGCTTAATTATCTGATTTTATACGTATTATAAACTTATGTGCAAGTTTTATCCTTTGGCCGCTTTTATTATTATATTTTTTTTAAAGAATGTGAACATCGTTTAAAAACATGTCTTTGGATTGGGTCACATAAAATGCATCCACGATCCGGAACGTATTTTTATTCAATGTTTTGGGATTTAGATTTGGGTCGCATAAAATGCACACCCGAATTTAAGAAAGTAAGCTTATTAAAATGCGCGCCTAAAGCAATTAGCGTGTTATTATTTCTGGGTAAGGCCGTGGAATATTTGCTAAACGGCTCATCCCAAAGTCTAATTAATTTTAATTAAACATTTTATGAGGGCCCCACAATCTATACATTTATTAAGCGAGGCTCGTCTCATTTTTATTTTAAATGAATAAATCTTAAAGCGACTACATTTTTCTATTTAAAATTAGTCTCTAAAATGAATAAAGAAAATCCTAATTAATTACGTTTTTTATTATTATTGTTATTTTAAGAAAAACATGAATTCTATTGCTAGATTAATACAAATACTGATGAAAAGGAATTTTACTCAAAATTTCGAAATTTATAAATAAAATAAAAATTCGACAACTAATATTCAAAAGAATCAAATATAGCTAGATTAAAACTCAGCATTGTTATTTTTTTTAAAAAAA